GAATGAATCAAAGAATATTTTTCCATTGATTTCGATCTCGCAATCGCCTCTGTTTCCTCTGCTTGCAGAATTTGGCAAGATGAGACCCACCGAGTCTCTGCTCGCGGGAGATGAATATCACGCGTCCCGACTCCCATAGGGTTTACAGCTCAGACCTTCGTATTCTTGATACAGGGTGGCGAGTTGGTCGAACCACCGTAACCGAAAGAATAAGATCAGCGCGATCTTTGATAAAGGCACTCTTCCAAGGTTCTGAAGAATACAGAGCCTCGACCTGACCAATCGACACCAACCCGGGGGAATAAACAATATATTCAGCGAACGCCCTCATCTTTGACATGTAAATCGTTAATTCAATTGTACTCTATAACCATATATACTGATCTATTTAGACTGTTTTACTTAAAATGTAACACGATAAGATACTTGCTTACACGTTGCTTTCATTGTCTGTTGCAAGTATTATAATTTATATTTAAAAATTTACAATAACAGATGAAAACCATTAGACAGTTTGCTAGCATTATAGCAAAACGCATTCGTTCTATTTATATTACCTATCGCATTTTTTATTACAGTGCGCAAAGTTGGGACCCGACGCATGTCATTTACTCGTTATATATCATGTGATAAAACCTTAAGAGTTCAGGCTAGTTTTTTACCATCACAAATCTCAATTAGAACGTACTGGGCGATAATTTACAGGCGCTTGTTCGATTAGTATTCTAAATAACCTAAGGCTGTCGAATCTTTTACATTGTACTAAATTAATGTGCGAGATGACGCTACCTAGCATAAGCCATATGTTTTTTTAAAATAGCAGATTATATGAGAAGTACATTTTCATCGATAAATAAATGGTCGTGTAAAGACTGAGGTCATTCTTCATTTTAAGATTTACACATCCTGATCTTTATCAATCCCCTGTAGATTCACAGCTTTCTCTGTCTGTTCTCGATGAAGTTACACGTAATAAGACGAAAGTGCCCAAGCTTTCTGTGTGTAAGTAAATTTACGCTGATATTGATTTAATTACACGATAATAATCGAGTTCTGTGTAAATGAAATAGTTAGGGATCCGGGCTATACGAAAATTATTCGTACACTATATATTGTATATCATATTTACTTCGTTCGTCAATCCAACGGAATGCTTTGATAGTATTCTTTTATGCGGCGCAAGATTGTACGTGGAACTCTTAAGCTATGATAAGCATGGCGATGACACACCATAATCCATCGGGTCGATTTCCATGCACCGTATTGGCAACAGTATTAGCTACGTGCTATTTATTCACAGATAGAGCAGATAAGCACTGTTTTGATCATCAAATTTATCGATTGGGGAACTGCCGATATCTGTTTTAAACTATTTCTTGATCGACGTTAACCATCGTGTCTTGGTCAGCTGGTCTTCAACAGATCGATCTTTGCGTTTGTTGTAGTCGCGTAGTTGATTAGGTCGGCCATTGTGAACTCCTCCACGATATATCAATTTCTGCATCAGTTGCAAATAATATATCAAAGTTCCTCACCTAGCTCGATATAGTGAAGCTCACAGCATCCATGACACCCAACTGTCTGCCGATTCGGGTGTGGATTGCATCACAAAGCCATCGATAGAATCTCTTTCGATACCGCGATTTCTACGACTTAATAACCCTGTCGAAATACGCAAAAAATTGCTGGTCAAAATCAACCATTTAAACTTTATCCACATCGAGCAATTGCAAATGGTCTGTCATGTTTGGCGTCAGTAATGCCAACTTGACATTGTAGCATTCAGGGGCGACATGGTGACACAGGGCGTTGACCAGAAGGATAAGCATTCACATCCTGTACATATTGGCGTCGAAATAAATATTCCACTCAGCAACCGTTGACCTAATTTGCCACGCAGTCCGATTGTTGAAGTACACAAGCATCATTTACTTGGTGTTGTCGATTCAACATGCTCGATATTGCTTCTACTGGCTTATGACAACGAGCGACATCTTCTCGATGCCGGTCATGTTGCAGTACATTGCGACTGTGATAAGAACCTTTTCTGCCCTTTTGCCCGTTGTATTTGACCTCTGATAATGTCATGTTTGTATGGTAGGCGATGGAAGAGAGCTGATTCGGCACATAAAATACATTACGTGGCGGAATTTGACCAATTAACTCTTCAAGATCCATCCGATTCACTGCTAATTGAGCGCGATCAACTGAGTATGCCTTGCCGTACAGCACATGCTTCTAAATGCCGTGTAGACACATAAACTTGTACAGCCACCCATTCGAAACCTCAGCTCGTTTTCGCTTAGCGCTTGAGAGGGTCGGATTGAGGGGCCTTATTTTAGTAGTATCTCGTCTGCGGTCATTAATTTGATTTCATCGAGACGATAGTATGTTTGCGACACAGCTTAAATCGCTGTTACAAAAACTTTTCGATTGCGCTTCCTACCCGTGGCAATAAACGCGTTGCCTGTTGCCTGTCGAATCCGTTCTGCTGACTTCGTAGACATCCGAATACCGAGCTTCTCTTTGAACCAGTCTTGATATGAGCCAACTTGATGCCTGTTGTGCGCATGATGTGCATCTGCACCTGACGAATATGCTATATCACGAAAATGGTTTGCTTTGTCGACAGGCAGGAGGTAGAACACAAGAAATTGAGCAAAACGGCAGGCAATGCAAGAATGTTGCAAGTCCATTAATAGAAGAAACCGATAATTGGTGCGCGCTGTCTAGGGACCCTAATTCGTATTTCTCTTATATATGAGTCACCATATCGTAATCGAGTGACGAAGCTTATTGCGGAACAAGGCGTTTCTTGATACAATAATTGTACCCGCATTAAAGATTTTACATAGGGGGACAACTGAAGTGACCCTTCTTCCTTAATCATATGCGAACAGCAACTGAACACAGGCTAGCTAGTTTTAATTATTTAAATTAATTCGTTTGTACGCGTTGTGATATTTCCTCAACAAATGGCGAAGCCTTTGCGTGGGTCATATAAGTTATCCTACAATTTTATGGCAAACGGATCCGTGATCGTTATATTACCACGAAGCGCTACTAAATGTAATAAAACCTCAAAGATATATTGACACCGATTCTAGCATTTTCTTCTGTTGAGAATGTGAACAGATGTGTCGATCTTGTTTTGTTGGGTGTATCGAGAAATGTTAATACAATAAGCTATTGCATTTGGCTAAAAAGGTAGAACTTCAGTACTATAAGAATACTTTAATAGTAAGTGAAGCAGTCATTTATGTGAGCATATATGTACATGTACTGAATTTCATTGATAGTGCCGATGTTCAGATGCTATCTCCCGACTAATCATAGTGGGCGTCATATGATGATGGGCGTTTTGCTGGCTACCATCATGGCCTTTTTATTAGCCATGGTCGGTTAATTCCTGCCGAATATTCCCTACAAAGGTATTGCGTTAGTATTTCCTTCAAAGGACACTCCCTCGATATTACCAGCTTAAGTTAATACTACTTGCTATTATTTACTACAATGAGTCTAGGCAGCGACGTACTCATCTGTTGATGCCATGGATTGGGCTTGTCCGGTTGCATGGACCCTCATCGAATACACTTTGGTGCTTCTTATAGATCTCGTATTGAGTAGGCAAAGACTGCCTAAACGGTTTAAGACTGAATAATGACGATCGTCGAATCAAATTGCCAACTAAAATTTTTGAAGAAATTGGACACTCAGACACGTATGGATTGAAGCAGAGATGATGTTTGAGATTCGGACGGCAAAGGGCGTGAAGACCAAAACGACGATCGCTGGATTTTCGCTGCTAGTATTTCCGCGTGTGATTCAAAATAGGATAAATGGTAGCGAGCTAGTGCTTTGCTATACGAATATACAGAAAAGCATTCGCCCGTGAATTAATAGATATTATTATTTTGTCATCGACTGATACTACCCGTCATTCCGTTTCTGTTGGCTGTATACAATCAAGCCAACGATACTTCGCCGATACAGAACCAGATCCGATCAACCTCATTAACTACTCATAAGCTCAAGCCTTTTGTGCTTTACGCTGCAAACTAGTAGGTTACACGCGCGTCTTTAAATCATACAAATAAAATTCTCTTTGTGTACCGACTTTGACATTGGCCATTGCTTGGCATCTACGTTTCTACATTACATAAGAATGTTAACTTCCTCACAGACAGTTTGTAGTGTGGAAAACGTCCATCGAAACGCGTTGATGGCAATGGGCGCATGTGGTGCGTGGAAATTAACAAACCACGCGCTTGATGCTACGACAAACGGTATGGGTAGATGGCATTTTGTATTATAAACTTTGACGTGAAACAGAAGAAGGCACACAAATATCACATCAATTTTAAAACCGTTGGTCAGATCACGCGCCACGTGTGCTAAAAATTATTCGAAATACTATCACATATAGCAGCTATCGAGCATCATTGCGCACGGTTGTAGCTTCATCAATTTAGTTCGTCGAAGTGTGTGATGTTACTTGGCAAGCAATCCAGGCGTGCTATCGCATCGTCTACGTTCTATCTCAGCTGCTAGGGCGAGTCACGTATGATACCTAGGGTGAAATTGCTACGCACCAGTCAGACACGTTGATGTCAACGCTGCATTTGCGTCTCTACCGGCTATGTGCGATGATCTACTCCGGCACACATCTCATGAACTGGTACGGCACTTTGCGACAGGGTCCGTCCTGATGGATTGTGTCTATTCAAAGTGGCTTAAAACGTGGCTGCCGCACAAGGACTGCAGCGCTTTTCCACTGTAAAGAGCGAGCAGTGGTGGACGGAACAGACTTTGGTCAAGCTTACGATGTCAAGTACATTGTTGTTTACGACGTCTGCTCAATTGTAGATGTCGCATGCACGCGAGTAAAATAAAGTGAGCTCACATGTAGCAAACGGTGCAGTAAAAAAGAGATTGTAGCTTGCCAACGCAAAAAACAAATCCACTGCTTCGTTCATCGACCCGTACACAACACGCTAAGCTCAGCTCAGCAAGTCCGTGATCACAGCTTCCATGTCGCCTTCGTGCTGCGTCAACAGAGCCAAGCTGCGCGTCTCATTCGCAAATTTCATGCTAGCCAGAATCTGGAGCTGGTCCGACCATCGAAGAGACTCGTTCGACTCGGTTTCCGCCACGCCTGGCGTCGCAACATTTGACCCTTCACTTTCACTCGGTACAACCGCAGCTGAAGCATTGCCAGCACAAATCGCTTCCGCGCAGCCGGTACAGACAGGCGTCAGCTCTTCCGGATCCATCACATTGATATCGAACCAGAGACGTTGTCCAAATCAATTTACATCAGGCGTGCTTAGACGCCAGTAACCATTGTAACGACCAGCCTTTGCTGGGGCCACCATGCGCAACGACAGTAATCGACTTGCCAAGTTGTACTGAAGGAACCAACACGCTCTCAGGAGCTTGCATCTTGTCGCCACCTACGCACGAAAACACAGCTCCCACAGGCCACTTCGTACAGCCTCCGTTACGCAGTTTCCACACCTTATCAAACGCTTATCCTGAAGCCAGTACCAAGCCCTTTGGTCACGTAACATCACTCTTAAAAACTGCCACAACTGGGCCCAGGTCCTGCTTGGTCTCTTCATTCGAGATCATCTCAAAGTAGTCACTGGCCGACATGATATGTGCGTTGTGGCTGTGCTGTAATTGCTGCAGCACTCTCTCTACCTGCACACGGGCATTCGGACACTTAGCAAGCAAGATCTTGGCTACCTCTTCCAAATCGGCAGCGCCAGCAACAGCCAGCAGACACCCGGTAAAGTTGCTGTAGCGGAGCTACACAGCTCCTTAAGTCAGAGGGAGACTTATTACTCAATGAGCAGCTTTGGTTCTAATAAATTAACTCAAAGAGTCAACAGCTCCGAGAGCTAAGGTTTGGTTCAAAGAACCCGACTCAAAGAGTCAACAAGCTCAGAGAGCTTGCGGTCCCTGTTCCAAGGGGACCAAACAAATTAAAAAATCAAACGCACTAAGTGCACAAGGATTAGCTGCCTTAACAAGGCGTTTCTACTTCTTTACGATCGCAAGACGCCTCAGAGAGGCTCGTGTCTTTTTTTGATCAAAATGGGAACTGAGTTTTATTTCTTCTTTTAACCTAAAAACACCTTAGAACAAAGTGATTAACCTACTCACTAATGTCCTAGATAAACTATTAAAAGATCTTGTAATCAATGGTTGACAGGCATCAGTCTTCAACAATTGATACTTGTGTTCAAATATTATTTTAAAGGGGATCCCATCCCTTGTGTGTACCACATCTATTGTCGACTACCAGTCGACGTGTAACCCCGTTACACCCTCCCCCACCAGACTGACGTTACCTCAAAACGTCGATCGAATTTTTTCCTCGAAGAGGTTGGTGTCTGTGCGCTTCAACGTTACGGTTGGCAAAACACACAACACCATGGCATCGCCACCCCATGAGTCCTCGACTCTCTCGTCCTCCCTCAGCTCTGATGTGGAGGTGGATTATAGTAGCGATACCGATATCCATGGTGAAGAGAGGACAATGTCCGACTCACCAGTGCAAGAGGCACCGCCTTATACTGCACCAAACCCATTTGCCGAGCGTGGCGAAGCCAACGCGCCATCGGCGTCGCATCAAACACCCATCGTGGGCGATGTCATCGTCACAAATCCGCTCGATGAGCAACAACAGTTGGCTATCCAACGAGAGGAGAGCGCTCAGCGCCGTATACAGCTTGCTGCAACTCTTGAGGGTCGTCGTGGCTGTCTGTTCACCCCACTCAATGTGGAAAAGCGTATACGCCAAACGACAGTTCGTTCTTTGGCAACGTGGGCCATTGGCGCTGAGCCAACATCTTCTGATGAGGTGGTGTGTCGACAGATACTTCGCGAGAGGTACCTGCAACCTCACTTGACGACTCAGAGTCAACACAAGTTGCGACTTGACACGCAAGCACGGGGTGCACCGGTTCCACTATGAAGGGTATACCCATCCTCTTATTCGCAGGCGAAATCTCAGAAGGAAGAAGACAACGCTTTTGTTTGCTGCGCGCATCGGAAACGACACCTCAGCAGCGTGTTAGCTCTCAGAGCAAGTGCCGATGTGCCAGATGTTTGCCCAGAACGAAAAATTCGGTATGATTACGCCAAGCTTAAGGCCAGAGGCCAATTGAGAACTCGCACACGCTATGTTCCGACTGTATTGATTGATGTGGGTGTCGGTCAAGAGGTGCCCAACTACCCACCTGCCTCCACACTATTCGTTAGAAGCGCTCTCGGTCGATAGATGACCCCTACCACGATGTTCAGAAACATCAACGGCGTATGAGCAATCCTGCCGAAGGGCTGTCTCAAACCCCCACGAGTTCTCCGACTCCGGGTACCCGCGCCACTCCACCAGATACTGGAATGGGCCCTGACGACGACGTCGTTTCAGGAGTCGGTCCACATAGAACTGGCGGCTCCCTTGCTCATCGAGCAGCGTCGGAGGTTTTCGGTATACCGAAGGAGGATCATGAGAAGATTCTTCTCGAACTGAGTGGTCTCCGTGAGACATTAGGTAAGACCCAGAGTGCGTTTGACGCGATGCGAGCCCGTGTCCAGGCGTTGGAGTTGGGCCAAGCCCGAATGGAGGCTCAGCTTGACCTCCTGATACGGATTCAGCAATCGATGGCAAGGCCAACCTACCCGGCGCAATCGCCTCCAAGTTCACGTGGGACGGATCCTGATACGGCTTGAGCAATCTCACGTAGAGCACGGGGTGTGTAAGCAGTTTGCGCGGAAGGTTGAGCGTATACGCAAGTCCCTTCTTGTTGACGACCGTGAATGGTCCAATGAAGCGCGGGCGCAACTTTGTCTAAAAGACGGCGGACACAACATTTGTAGGTAGGTTATAACGTTGAGTAAAACTTGGTCTCCAACCCTATAACGCTCAATACAAACTCTGCCTTGAGCATCATCTTGTTCCTTCTGCGTGTCTTGGCTATCAGCCATTGCGTCACGCACATGTCGTAAGACATTTGATCGCGTTGCGAGAAACTCGCTTACCTGTTTTGAACAGTGAAAGGGCTAATATCAGTAAGCCGATCGGCAACTACTCCCCCATCAAGCCCTGAACCACGTAGTGGTAGTATAATGGAACGCGAGGATGTGTAAGATCATTCACATAGAACGGTGTGTAGCCGGTTGAAGCATAAACAGCGTTGTTCAACCCAAACTTAGCGACAGGTAGCATCGAACTCCAACCTTTCGGTGTATAGCGCAAACACTGCGCAAGTAATCACCGATAATGCGATTCACTCGCTCGGTTTGACCACTGTCTGCGGATGATCCACTGTGGACATGTCCAATCGTGTGCCGAGCACCTTATAGATGGGTACCAAAATTTTCCGATGAAGCGAGGATTTCTATCACAGATAATTGCCAACGGCAATCCGTGTTGTCGAAACACTCGATCGACAAAATCGTAGCTGTACCCTCACCATCGATAGAATCCGGCACCGCCGCAAAAGAGCCATCTTGCTCAAACGGTCAAAAAAGGCCACAATACCCGTATTAACATGCGCATCTTTCGATAATCGAACATGAAGCCCATGCTAATGGACTCATAAGACCCCGAGGGTATGGGTGAACTAGCCAGCGGCGCAGTCGCATGCGCTGATATTTTCACCCGTTGACACGTTTCACACGTACGCACATATGTGCTCACCCATTTGTATAGTTTGGGCCACCAATAACATTGGCTCACAGAACGATAGGTCTTCTCTCGACCGAGATGACCACTTAACGCAGTATCATGTTCCTAATAGAGGATCCGATACTTCAACTCCTCATCGTGAGGGACGACGATGCGAGGGATATCCTCCACATCCGTGCTATAGTACAACAGGCCCTGATCGATAGAATATCGATGTAGCCTCGCACGTAATCATGCCGACAATTCTATGTCCGAGTCCTTAAACTCCTTGCTCCCTAGAGCACGTAGCAGAGCTACACAGTGTTCATTCTTAGCATATGCCGCACGGATTCGGTCAGGGACCGACAAAGACAGAGTCGTAACATGAGCAAGCTCATAGTCAGGCTTGCGTGACAACGCATCAGCCAAAGCATTCTGCTTGCATGGCTTATACTTCACCTCGAAGTTGTACTCGGCAAAGAAGGAAATTCAACGAGCCATTCTCTGAGAGAGATGAGGCGACTGGGTTACAGTGCGTAGTGACGCATGATCTATATGGATCACAAACGGCTTGGAGCCAAGAAGATGAACTCTGAATTTGACGAGAGCATACTTCATTGCAAGTAGCTCTTTGTCATAAACAGGATAGTTCTTTTCTGCAGCCTTCAGCTGCCGGGACTCAAACGCAATGACGCGTTCCCGTCCATCATCATCTGTCTGTAACAGGGCGCTGCATATGGCAAATTCAGATGCGTCACAGACGACATTGAAGATCGATCAGGATCGTGCAAAGCCAAGATCGTCGCTTGAAGGAGACTCTCCTTTAATGCTTGAAAAGCATCATGCTCGGTGCTAGTCCAGCACCATTCCACATCCTTGTTAAGGAGATTGGATATACGCCGAGCTATATCTGCGTGATTCACACTGTACTTGTGTAAGTAATTGGCAAGGCCAAGCCACTCACGTAAGTCCTTTTAATTCTTTGGAATTGGCCGATCAACGATGGCATTTACCTCATCGGGATCCGCTCGAAGGCCTCGCTTGCCAATATAAGCACTCTGAAAAGGGAATCTCTTCGGCACCAAATATGCACTTCGATGAGTTTGCGTACAACTTATTCGTGCGCATGCACTCGAACACCGCTCGTAAATGTTCAATGTGATTTTCCACATCCGACCGACCGTTCATAGCCCGACTATGGGCAAAGATGTCTTTAAAGTACGTCTGTGCATATCCTCGGTGGGGTCTGAACAATTGTGTCATAAGAAGATTGAATGTTGCCTGAGCATTTGATAACCCTTGCAGCATAACAAGCCACTTCCAGAGGATACCGCTCGGAGTGCTGACCGCTGTCAGCAGAATGTCGCTTTCTCGAATGAGCAGCTGGTAATAACCATCGACTGGGTCGAGCGCACTGTACATTGTACATCCCACCATATTGTTTTGAAGATCGACCTTCTTCGGAATTGGTGTCTGAGCCGGGATGGTGGCCACATTAAGCTTATTGTAAGCATGAACAATGCGCCACTTCCCATTGGGCTTTTTGACACAGAAGGTCAGTGTGGAATGGGGAGATTTGCTCTCACGTACCATTCC